AATTTCTTCCATATGCATAACTTTGATTTCTGTATCTGAATGGTTAGAGCTTCATAGGTCCACAGGAGATGAAAGTGTGTTGCCTTTGACAGGTTGTTCATCACTTTGTAGATTACTTTGAAGGCAGGAGTTAGTTGAGCCAAAATGATCACTGTTGATGTGTACAATTATCCTACTCCATATAGAGCCACTGCTACTTTTCTGCAACCGTGCGAGATAATGTTCTTAAAGCTTTTTGAGTTTTTATTAAAAAGCTTTCAACTGTATTGCATTCTAGTTCAAACAAAACCGCTATATCTCTTTTTTGTTCATTTCATTCCTGTTGAAAGAGCCCAGCTATCGGCTAGTAAACTACATGAGGTTTAAAATTTTATTGGCTGGAAATCGAACTCGGACCTCCCCCAAACATATCGCATTGTCTTCTTTGCTTGCCAATATCATCATCCACCAAGTACAGAAATTCTACAATACCCTATTTAGCCCGTACCTTATGTAACGAAGACTCTCTTAGACGTGAAACACATCAGCTACTATATAACTAGCACAGTGAATCGACCCTTTCTTTGTTCATCTTTCTGTATTATATGGTGTCACACTTTCTATCGTTTAATTATAACTTTGCGATTTTATTTTAGTTGTTATTACTATTATTACTACAATTTTATACTTTATGCATATTTTTCTCCGTATTGCATACAGTAATTTGCTATGTAGCTGCTATAATAACGTTTTATTATTATTGTGTAATGTTTATTTTACTATAATTTCTGTCGTTTTTTGAGTAACCTAGATTCAATATTGTACTGAATGCTGAATATTTCTTGCTGTATCATTAGTACTGTTTTTAGAATAAAGCAAAATTATCATTATCATTAGGTGGTTTGGACTGTACGGATATCGTTATATCAAACCTGATGAAACTACATTATCGACCACGCTTAGGTTGGACCAAACAAGGAGACACCAGAAGAAGATTTGTACTTCGAAGATGATCTATATGTCTAATGTCGAGCAAAACTTGAAGATCTACAGGCTGAAACCAACAAGTTGACTGAAAAAGCAACGATTAGAAAACTTCAGGTGAAAACAGAGAGTAGAAGGATGATGAAGCTACCTCAACCAACAAAATCAAGCACTAAATTTGACGGAAGTCGCTTCAGTCACTTTTTTAGTCAGCATCATTATAACTACACAGAGTGTGAATGAGGATGTCAGATTCTGAATTGGATTAGCAAAACAGACAAAATGCAGTAGATTTCTATACTAATTGAAGAATAAAAAAGTCTGTTTTGCTAATCCAATTCAGAATCTGACATCCTCATTCACACTCTGTGTAGTTATAATGATGCTGACTAAAAAAGTGACTGAAGCGACTTCCGTCAAATTTAGTGCTTGATTTTGTTGGTTGAGGTAGCTTCATCATCCTTCTACTCTCTGTTTTCACCTGAAGTTTTCTAATCGTTGCTTTTTCAGTCAACTTGTTGGTTTCAGCCTGTAGATCTTCAAGTTTTGCTCGACATTAGACATATAGATCATCTTCGAAGTACAAATCTTCTTCTGGTGTCTCCTTGTTTGGTCCAACCTAAGCGTGGTCGATAATGTAGTTTCATCAGGTTTGATATAACGATATCCGTACAGTCCAAACCACCTAATGATAATGATAATTTTGCTTTATTCTAAAAACAGTACTAATGATACAGCAAGAAATATTCAGCATTCAGTACAATATTGAATCTAGGTTACTCAAAAAACGACAGAAATTATAGTAAAATAAACATTACACAATAATAATAAAACGTTATTATAGCAGCTACATAGCAAATTACTGTATGCAATACGGAGAAAAATATGCATAAAGTATAAAATTGTAGTAATAATAGTAATAACAACTAAAATAAAATCGCAAAGTTATAATTAAACGATAGAAAGTGTGACACCATATAATACAGAAAGATGAACAAAGAAAGGGTCGATTCACTGTGCTAGTTATATAGTAGCTGATGTGTTTCACGTCTAAGAGAGTCTTCGTTACATAAGGTACGGGCTAAATAGGGTATTGTAGAATTTCTGTACTTGGTGGATGATGATATTGGCAAGCAAAGAAGACAATGCGATATGTTTGGGGGAGGTCCGAGTTCGATTTCCAGCCAATAAAATTTTAAACCTCATGTAGTTTACTAGCCGATAGCTGGGCTCTTTCAACAGGAATGAAATGAACAAAAAAGAGATATAGCGGTTTTGTTTGAACTAGAATGCAATACAGTTGAAAGCTTTTTAATAAAAACTCAAAAAGCTTTAAGAACATTATCTCGCACGGTTGCAGAAAAGTAGCAGTGGCTCTATATGGAGTAGGATAATTGTACACATCAACAGTGATCATTTTGGCTCAACTAACTCCTGCCTTCAAAGTAATCTACAAAGTGATGAACAACCTGTCAAAGGCAACACACTTTCATCTCCTGTGGACCTATGAAGCTCTAACCATTCAGATACAGAAATCAAAGTTATGCATATGGAAGAAATTTATTAAACCACTTCGAATGTACGTTGTCTGTCACTATGCTTAACCACGCAGGATGATGTTTGGAAATCTGACGATAGAGATGCGCCTGATTGTACTTCCTGTTTAACTGACTCCACAGGGACAGTTAAACGGATAGCTACAAACGGAGGAAACCAAACAAGGTAGTTTATCTTCAACTGCTGAATGTAAGATAGGGATGGTTTTGTAGACACCATGTACTTCAGGGCTACTGAATGTTCTTTATACCACAAACCTCAAGCGTTGTGTTATTATTTCACTAATATTATCAACATAGAACTAAAGTTGTATGATTAGGACATCTCATCGCAATTGGTCCCATACTAGTAGTCTGAGAAAGATATCGTGTACAATTGCGGTTGTTCAGTTGAACAAAACAAATCCACCAGAATGAGTCATCTTGCTAAACCTACTTGTTGTATGTTTTCACTACAAACTGAAATCTTTGATTACAGAGTTTGGTTGAAACCAAAACACATGAGTCAAACTAAAAAAATTACACTCTTGTTAAAAAGAAGAAAGAATGAATATTTAAAATCTAATTTCTAACCATAAAGGATTTTAGAAACATAAATTATAGAATAATAAATGCACTGTTCACTGTTTGTAACACGTGGGATTATATCACGAATTCTATGCAAGGATAAGTAATTTGTTCAAATTAACTCAGGTTTTTGTCGACCAATCATACATACAGATAAATACTGAAGATCTGAAAAACGCGAAACAAGCAAAATTTTCTATAAAACAACATTATTGACATACGTGTAAACCTTGGGCACTGTGGTCGTAAGTAATTCCATATTAGTTAGTTTATTAGATATGTCACACACTGAACAGACAGTATTATTTACTGGATTACGTTTCGAACAAACTTTATTGTTCATAATCATTTCATCAATTATAATCACACGACTTTGAAACTTGAGTTTTACAGCTTTCTTTTTCTTCTATTTGTCATTCGTTGAGGTAGTAGAATTTTCCAGATATCTGGGTGGACAGGTGTTGAATCTTTCCTATTGCATGTATTTGCAGTTGATTCGATAAACACAGCTTCTGTTACCAATCTCTCACTCCACCCTGTGACATTAGATTTTAAAACTGTCATCTTATCCCATCCATCCTATTGCATAGTTGTGTGTAACTGCAGAATTCTTAAAAGGGCAGGAATAAAAGTAGCATTCAAATACACAAACACAGTTAGAAACTGGCTTTGTCGGCTAAAGGATTCTGTGGAGCCTTTTTAGTTTATTTAATTCCCTGCCTGCAATGATTGTCAGGTCAAATAAATAGGTCAGAGTAGTAGAACAGGTGCAGTCAGACTAGCCGAACATTTGGTTGACCCAAATAAGATAAGAAATCTAGAGAATAGTTCAGCTATAGCACTACATGCAGAGGTAACGTCTTCTGTTTGGTTGTTTACCTGCTGAAGGTTATTCTGTCATCTCTTTGTTGTAGTTTCATAGACAGTTCGTTGATATATCTGCTAGTCGTATCCGTCCATGCAAAGTCTACCGCGATTGGTTGTGAAGTTCCTCAAGATTAGGCTTTGCTCTTGTTTTTTTCTCATGACCAAGATTTGGGACGTAAACATTGACGTAAATTTCTGTCTACTAATTTTGGCTAGCAGACAGCTCTCACCACACTAGTTTTTCTGTTCATCAACTGATAAATCCATCATAATCTTTCTTTTTGAATGTAATTTTAATATATATATATATATTTGAAGCTACTAGTTTGAAAAAGTGACATAAAAGGCCACACGAGAGAAATCAGGGGACCTCTATTCCATTATGCTTTCTCTAGAAAGTCCAATTATTATTGATGTGAATTGAATATCTCTTAGTTTTACCATAAAAAGATCTCTGTTTTACAGTTAATACTTTATTTATTTTATTCCTTTGCGTTTCAGGTGGGACGTAGGGTTTCAAGCTTGAACTTTGAAGTTTCAGTAGTATTAGTAGTAGTGGTTTCGATTCTAAGGGGTGGAGTTGCTAACCTCACTCCCAACCTCTCCTCTTTATCGTTCTTACCACAGGTCTACCAAGATTTAAAAGTGAGTCGGCCAGAAATCAAAGCCCGGTTTATATGCGTAGTTGGCTGCTGAATGGTCACTGTGCTTGATCTTGGTTACTGATGGCCTTAGGTTCGATTTCTAGTGAGGTAATGAGTAATCACCGCTAAACAGTCCAATGTTTGAACGAAGTAGCTGTCTTGTACTTTATTTACTTCTTACCATTATTCCATTTCCAATTGTTATTCCACTTATATCCTTTGATCAGTAAACAAGGGGAATGAAATCACCATAACTGGACAGTAGAATGTTTACCTGGTATTTGACATATATATATTACTACTCAAAATTATGCTGAGGTTGACATGAACATCTAGGTCTAAATTAATATCTCAAAGTATTGTTTTATACTCACTTCTGTATACTTCTTTATTCTTTTATCAGGTCAGTCCCGCTTACCATTGCCTCATTCTCAGCTAAGAGTCACAAATTCAGCACCTCGGTCTTCGCAGACATCACAGGATGCACAACGAAAGGAAGAAGAAGATGATGAGTCTTCTGGGTGTGAACTACCTCATTTTGGACAATCATTAGCATCTGGTAGATCCAGTCTTTCGCAACAGATGTTGGTTGTTCGGATGATGTACCCGGTCGGTATTACAGCAACACCATTAGAAGTTCAGTCGAACGCATATTTTCCAGGTGTTGGAGAACCCAAAAATTATTATCCACTTCTACTCTACTTTCCACCAACTTACTATTCGCTGTTCATACGATGTGGACGGCTTTGTTGGAGAAGAATTGAGCGTACTTTTGTTGGTAAGAGATAAATGTTAAATGAAAATTCTATCTGCTATTTATTTTTGAAGTCTCTTCATCATTTTTCTAGTTTTGCTGTATCACTTATGCCAAGTTTATACTGTAACATAAGAATGATCAAAGTAAAAGCGTTCTGTTTAATTCTTTCTCAGTAATTCACCTTGAACTGAGCATATATTTAGAGTTCACCTTCAAAAACAAGACGAGGGTCACTACTCTCCCTGATAATATTTCTAACTCTGGTGTACTGCATCATACAGAAAACTGTAAGGAATGAGAAGACAAGAGAACGCTGAACGGATAAGAAGATTTTAGAAGATCTGGATATCGTAGACGAATTGTGTCTAATGTTATATACATTTAAAAGAGAAGCAGCAAAAATAGGACTTCAGGAGAACGTAATGAAGCGGGAGGTGATAGGGATAACTAACAAACAGCAACATGTACTAATCACGATCAATGGGAGGAATTTGAAAGATGTAATTTCCTTCACTTTTCTAGGCAGCGTTGTTAGAACTACAGGCGGAATGGATGAAGATGTCAAAATAAGGACCAGAAAGGTAAGACAAATCTTCCTCATCCTGAAATCAACATAAGGAACAAAATTCAGATTTTAAACACCAATGTTAATTCATTTCTGTCTCTATATTGAGGATCAAACCATAAAGAATTAGCCGTAAGTAACTCTAGAAACAAACTAATTAACTTGTGAAGACATATACCAAAGAAAATGAAGGTAAATCGGACTAATGTCGGGGATATCATTGGATGACACAAAGCATCAAGCACTTTAATGGGGATTCCTAATGAGAAACGATGATTTTTGTATATGTCCGATGGTAGCATGTAGGAGAGTATGTGAGAAGGAGATGAGAGCTTATGAGCGATCACGAGGAAAGGACTAGAAAGGACTGCCGAAAACAGGATGACATGAAGATACAGTGTTAAAGCCGTATATTCCACTCTGGATCCAAGGCAATATTAATAATAATAATAATCATAGTAATACAATGACAATAAGTGACTGTAGAATGTTTTAAACGCGATTCAGTTAAACATAACATTAAATAAATACGTAGTTACCAGACTGTTTCAAACCTCACATAACACTAAACTAACAGTCACGTTTGAGTAAAATTAATTTTGAAAATCGAAATTAAAAATTTAATTCGTGGCAGACGAAGCTATACTTGATCATTGTTTAGATGACCACTTAAAGGGTTTGAACAATAAGAGGTCAAAAGCACCAACACCATTGCCTCAACTCGACTTCAAATGAAGTTAAGATTAACTTTCATGTATTCTTCTTAGATAAAAATAGTTACATTATAAAAAAATATCACTTGAGTTCTATTATGTAATACTGGTCTGGTGTCATTTACTAGGTTATTAGCTTAATTACGCGACTATTAGATGAATGATCGGGTTGCCTATAAGGCATAATTTTCATATGATCTCTTTCCATTTAGATATTTTGAAAAAAGGTCAATCTGAAAAGTTTACATTCCTTCCAACAGACATCAAATGATTCACTGGTGTGTTAAAGTCTGTATGACATTTCTAAGAGGATCATATGAGAATAAATTATTACTATATAAGTGGACAGAATTCATTTGAAGATTATTCTGTAAAAGAGATGGAGTAAGTTTATGTTTTCTGTAACTTCTCTTCACGTATTAGCTAGACTGACTGAATTGTTTGAACATACTGTCCTATAAATACATATATCACTCTGGCATATTAATTTTACGGCACAAGAAGAAGAAGAAGTACGAATAGGTTGATGCTTCCATGTAAAACATTTCTTAAATATAACCACAGTTATTTTAGGATTTACTTTAGAATAGCGTTACCCTGTTATCACAATCTAGTAAGTCATAAAAAGATTTGAGTGCTCCATACTGCTCCTAAATTTGTGTGCAGTCACGCTTCCCCATGAATGTTTAGGGCTCCATATAGATGTGGTTAAAGGTTACTAATTATTTGATTAAACACGGTTTGTAATAAATATTTTTGATGACATAACATACATTGCCTCGAACCGAAACAACTGCTTGATGTACTATACATTGGAAACTATAGATAAATACTTAAATTTTGAGGTGATTTCCTAACCAGTCTCATATAAATTCCCTTCTTTTACATTAATTCATAACAGTGATTGATCTCATTATCAGTAATACTGTAAATTCAGGTTATAGAGGAAAAAAATTAGCGATTATTGAGTTTGAATGCATAGTGAACTGAACTCACCTCCCTACTTACACGATGTCATTTGATTTTTGATGCATGGCAATGGATAACAGGAAACACATCCAGTTATATTTGAGACTTCTTTGTAAAGTACACTGGCATATTCATTAAATGGTGATGTTCTGAATAACAGACTCGATTAAAGTATGAACCATCTTAATATCTACCATAAACCATCAAACAAACAACATTAAGTTAATCCTTAAACATTGTCGAAGCATCCGAACTAGGAGATGACATATTGACAGACGTGTTTACCTAGGTCCAATGGAAGCTACCAGGAGGAAATACTAATCGACTTAAACAAATAACACCATAGTTACCTTCAGCCCCACCCCCCACCAGTAAATATAACTCAATACCTTAGAAAGAAGGGCAACTAACAGCTATGAACAGAAGACATCCATGCTAAATGGTCTTCAAATCTAAACTGGTCACCATGTCATTCCTACTGGCTCACGCACTAACTCAAATGAATTCAGTATTCATTAAACAACAATATTTTGTGTATTTTATTCGTTAATTATTAATGCGTATCTTTTATCTTCAGAAAATTCAACAGTTTATTGTTTACCAGCAGTGTATTCTTTTGCTTCGTATCATCCAGTCCCTTTGTTACAGATGGTAAGATACATGTTTTCTAATAGTGTATGATATTTAACATCTAATAATTTTTTTAACATATATTCACATTTATTGTTTTGAAAGTAGTAATGGGTTGTCCGGCTGCTTTTCCAGCTTTCAGAAGCTTGATTGCGTTCAAGACTTCAGCTCTCATTGGAGGATTGGTGTCAACTTGCATTTGTGTGTGCGCTGTTGTTGGTATTTCTGGACGGGTTGCAGGTGGTGGTCGGTTCAAGAGTCCTTTGAAGTGATCCGCCCATTGTTTAATCTGTTTTTCTTCCTTGGTGTTTGGGCTCCCTTGGCTGTCTTTTATAGGTTTCACTTGTGTCGATCTCTTCCCGGATAGAGACTTGGTTATCTGATATAGTGTCCTCAGGTCCCTTTTGCCTGCTGCCTTCTCAGCTTCAATGGCCAGATTGTCGTAGAATTGTCTTTTGTCCTTCCTAACACTCTTCTTCACTTCTTTGTCCAGTGCTGTGTAAGTTGAGCTCAGCGTCTATTTCTTTTGCCCGTCTTTGCATTGAATCATTTTCTCTTTCATCATTCTCTTCTCCTCTATTAGCTTCCAAGTGTCCATTGAGAGCCATTCCTTGTCTTGTCTCTTCTTTCTTCCTAGGACCGTTGAACACGTTTCGTTGAGAATCGCCTTCAGAGACCTCCAATGTTCTTCCACGCATGATTCTTCAGTGCTGTCGCGTAGTGTTTCCTGCTTTGCTCTGACAGTTGCAGTGAAGGTGTCTTTTGTGGTTGTGTCCTTCAGTAATCGAGTGTTGAACTTGCATTGTGACATATCCCCAGCTATCCTCGAAGCTCTTAGTTTCACCTTGAAAGTCCCTTGTTGTACTAGATAGTGGTGTGAACCCACATCTGCTCCTCTCCTTGACCTAGTGTCCAGTAGGCTCCGTCTCCACTTTCTTGAAGTTGAGATGAAGTCTATTTGGTTTTTGGTGTTTCCATCTGGTGAAATCCGTGTCGTCTTGTGTATATCCTTGTGTTTGAACACACTGCCACCAATCACCAAATCATTGAAGGCACAGAAGTCTGAGAAGAGCTCACCATTGTCGTTCATTTCACCGAGGGCCTCTCGACCCATAATAAATTCTCTTCCTGTGTTGTCTCCTCCCAGCTTCGCATTCATGTCGCCCATCAGGATTTTGATGTCGCCATCTGGGACGTTGTCCATTATTGTTTGTAGTTGTCTGTAGAACGCCTCCTTTTTCTCTTGTTCTGAGACGTTTGTAGGCGCATAGCATCGGATGACTGTAACTTTCCTTCCTTTTGAGTTGAACCTGGCTGTCATTATCCTGTAGGAGATTGGTTCCCACTGCACGAGGGCTTTGGCTGCTGTTGGTGACGTCATGATGGCCACTCTTTCGATGTGCTCGTGATTGTCCCCTGGGTGGCCGGAATAGATTATTGTCTGCCCGGTTGGCAGTTGGCACCTACCGCACCCATGCCATCTGCTCTCGCAGATTCCCAACACTTCTATTCTGTGCCTTCTCATTTCAGCGGCTATCTGGGCAGCCTTTCCAGTTTCGTACATTGTACGCACATTCCACGTACCCATCCTTATTTTTGCTTTCATCGAAAGAAGGCACATCGGCTGACTGGCTTCCCGAGTGCTTTCACCAGCCTGTGTCATTTCACTTCCCCGATTCCAACGAAAAATCAGGTTGTTGTTTATATTTTTGGAATTTTCAGTGTATTTGTGCGTTGAAGTTTGTGTGGCGATTTGGTTAAGTTTTGGGGGTAAGGTTGCTAGCACCACACCCCATCCCTCCCTCCTTCTCCGGCTTTAGGACCAGCTAGAAAACTAGGGAGCTAGTAGTCTAGGTGAGGTTCAACGTCACTTTGCTCAGAATTATTTGTCTATACATCACTAGTAGAAATGTGATACATTTAGATGGCTGAAAGTAAATGAGTATCGCGCCACTTAAATCACATTCTGAAAACATTCATTTGTGTTCTTTCCGCTTATTAATGAATCTTATTATTCAACAACAAACACACTCTTCAGCTTATATCAGTAAACGTCGTGGGTATTTTATGGTGTTCAGCAATCATGCTAAATCATGCATCAGCTGAGATGCGTTTCACATATCACATCAACCACGTTTCATATTCAGAGAAAACAAGCAAGTTCATACTCACTTCAATTTCTATTTGTTTTGAAACCAAAGTTAATCTGTGCTGAGTTTCTTTCATACAATTCATTGTCATTGTAGTAGACTCGATATGTGATTGCTCAAATGAACTTTGGTCATGAAAATATTAGAGTAAAAGAGTCAACTTTATCTAAATCCTCATTTGTAGAATTTATAAATAAATACAACTTCTCCGGTTCTTACGGTATGATTCAAATTCAGTCTGTCTGCATTCTTCGTCAAGCTGTGAAGAGTATGACTTAGAAATATGATTTGACAATAGTTGGCAGTCATTTGAAAAACAGGATGTTCTAGAGAGCAGTACACATCCAACGTAACATTGAACATCAAAACCGAGGCATTCAGGTGATGATATGTCGGGTTGATAATTCAGACATTGTAACACAGTCTAGTGAACCGTAAATTCTGAAGTTCGTCAACTTATATCGAGTACTACTTGAAACCAAATAGCTCTCTATCTGATTTTCGTTCCTCCTCTAAATTAAAATCAACAAAAAGGAACACTTGTGAGAAAATATTTACATGCTAGCTGTGATCACCTTTTAAATTCTACTCATTCTCAACAACCATTATATAGTTTGTTTAATTAACTTCAACTAGGTCAAGAGTCATCCAAGCCTGATGAATTCAATGTTACTCTGGGTGCATTAAATTCTGTACCATTGTCAAACGCCTCATTCAACGGAATAACACTACCATATCCAACGGATATCCATTCACAGAGTCCTTTCGCGCCGAATATATACCCACCATTACCGTTTATTCCAGGACCATACCCATGGGTAACATATAAAAATCGATGGTGCATTCAAGATGTCTTCGATTATTTATGGTGCCTTCACGGAATAGTTCGCCGAAATTCTTCATCTAGTTGAATGGGACGAACTACCCTATGTTGAATAAATACTTCTTGTGAACAAACTCCTTGTTATTTCGTTCTATAATTCCATGCACCACAGCTTATACTCCTGGAGAATTTATTGTCTATACCACTGAGTATTCCGGTTGAGGTTAGATGATAATTCCGATGTATGAGACAGTGTTGTAGAATAATTAGAAAAATGTAGGTAAGATGGTTGGTGACCACACAATCCGATTTTCCATGACTTCAAACAAATAAAAAAAGGAAACTTCGAATTTCTCATGCAATATTCATCAGTATACTCGCAATATTCGAGACACAAATCACCACCAAATAGTGGGGCGTAAATACCCATTTCACATAGAAACATATCTGAGAAGAGATATTTCATTGTCATTCTCCTCAGATATTAGATTGTGGGTTTTTAATATACACAGGCACCTATTCTGAAGGGGAATATTCGTATACAGGTGTCGATCTACCAATGAAGCATTCAACATCTAGTTGAAATTCCTCTTAGAATAAATCACACTAGTAATCCCTATTGAGGAATAGTATCGAGAATTTATCAAGTAAATTTCTGATTGTTAAGGTCAAGCTTTTACACCTGCACAATCGTAATAATATACGGAGTAGAATAAACGGAAAATAAGTGTCTGCTCTTCATGCATGTAACTTATGAAATTCAACAGTGAGTGAAAATACCGGATCGAGATAATCTACGTTGAGCTGATTACAAATCATGATTTAATTGAAATTCCAATGAGTGAGTAAAGTTCAGAAACGTTGGAAATACCTCGATGAACAACTATATGTAGTAAAACTAGCCGAATTGAGAAACGAGAAATAAGCACATGTGAATTTATCAGGTTAAATGATGATGCGTGAATGATGGTAGGAATTAAAGATGCGTCATTGATTGTTATCAGGATTAAATGCACTAAAATTAAATGTTTCATTGTGCAAAGCTAAAGTGAGTGTGAATTCTACGAGAGGCATTCTTGCATTCGTTGGCATTCGATGTGTGTCTCATCTTGACGAAATGAATAGTGAGACTAATAACTGGTAATGAATGATCCGCTTCTAAGTTTTTATTTCCATAGATATGGTGTTATGATATAATTCTCTAAGATGTGCGAGTTCAACTGACTGATGTTCAAATGGTTCATTAACAAAGTGTCTCGAATACAGTGAGCTGGGTGAAATGACGATTATGATTAGCAAAGAACAAATCACAACTCATTCCACGGTCGTTAATGAAGATTGAAAAACACATTGTGCACAGGACATGTTTTAATTGTTTGCAGAGTACTGTAGTAATCATTCTCTTACTATTAAGATTAATAGTCAAATTCGATGTTGTCATCTAAAGATCACTCCGATTGAAGTTATGCTGGGCTGCTGACAAAGGATACTTGGAGAAAAACACAGTTCGTCTGAAGTGGACGCAACCGTAGAGGAAATTTCTATCCAACTGCAGGTTTATTTCGACCAGAAACTTACAGTCATCCGTTTTCTACAAAGAAAGATACTGTCAACTGATTTCTCTAAGCTTTGAGTATAATGAGGAAATTGAGATTCAGACATTTTGAATAGAACTGACTGTGAACGACATGTAGCTGATTGATTCAAAAGATATAAGATTTCGAAGCAGTTAGTATCCTGACACGTTTATTCTAATGGATTTGAGTAGCCTAGCTACGTATAAGTTAATTTAGTCTTTGAATAACATGTAGAAGTGAAACTTCTTGTCAAGAATGCATTTTGGAGTGTATTTACGCAAACGTGTATACATATGAATGTGTTTGTACATCAACATATGATTCTCTGGAAAATCTGGTTGTATGATGAGATTGTTGTTCGAGTATGGGTCATTTGGAGATGTAGGGAGTGGTAATAAAGGGAGCAAGAGTATACTTGGTCGATGCAGTTGGTGGTAACATTTTAGCTGCACGCTGTGATTGAGGCGCAGTTTGTGGTAAGGGTGTTTGATGGGGAGCGGGTGAGTTGGGAAATCCTCCTCGTCTAACTGTGACACTGATGGTGGATCTGTCAATGGGAGAGCTTCAACAGGCAAGAATATGTTAAGTCATTAGTCGCATGATATGTGGAATATGTAAATGTAAGTGAAACATTTCCTATATGAGGGTAAATTTAGTTATATACAAGCATTTTAATAGGAAATTCAGTAAATTTATGTATGTATTAGTTGGAAAAAGGAAAAACATGTGAAACTAACATGGAGCAGGAACCGAAATGAATTGAATCCTAATGAATTTGAAATATGGCTTGAATGAATGAAAATATGAAAAATGAATTGAAAATATGGCTTGTAGCAAAATCACTAAAGTTGTAATTCGTAAGTAGTATTTTGGCGATACAAGCACGAGAGATACCATATTCTTCTTCTATTGAAGTTATATCAGCCTTGCATGTGTGTAATAAAGTTGCAATGGATTTGTACTTTTTTTGATTCATACCTTAGTAGAGGAGAAACATCGTCATTTTATAACACTATTCAAATAATTTATACAGACCAGTGGTTTCGCATTTTCTGAAATGGCTGAACTGAAACGCTTGTGATGAAATCGTGTACCTGGTATTCATGCTTCTGGCATCAATAAAGGATCCCATACTACAGAATTATTGTTGTTATTTCTGTCTAAATTTGATAGCCAATTAAAAACAGTTTCAAGTATTGGTTTGTAGGGATTTGATTGATTGTTTATAGGACTTCATCATGAGCTGATATTGGTCGGAGAACCACTGGAGGACCTCGCAATACTCGACAGCTGTTTCATCATCAGTACGCACTCACCACCAGGGTTCAGACAAAAGACATTATGGTTACAAGGCGAGCTCGTAGACCAGTGACTTAATGGTCGAGACAACAAAGATAGCATAATATTGTTGTGATCGATCACCCATTTCATCTTAACTGAAGGCTAGTTCACAGTTACGCTCAATCGACTGAGCTGTGCTGCGATAGACATTTTATATATATTTTTTCTAGAGTTCACAGAGATCGACAGGAGGACATGAGTTCTATGCATTTTAGAATGAAGTGCTTCACTGCTTCTTGTTGAATCTCATGATTATTTTCTGGGCCAAATATTTACCGTGTGCACTTCAGTGACATGAATGTGAATCCTGTGTTCAGTGAATACAGGTCAAAGTTCTTTTCTAATCACACAGTCAATAAAAAAAGATAGAGTATTTGACCTAGATAATAATATTGGCATCATCTCACTCCTACAGTTTACTCAGTCATTCTCGTAAATGCGTTCATTTTATAGTAAGTTGTTGGTTGAATTCGAATTTTAACATATTCGCATCTGAGTTAGAACAAGAGGAGTGAATTTAACAAACACCAATTGACGACATCAGTATTGTTTCATCACATTCTGCTGAAAAAGTAGACAATCTGCGACATAATTGAATGACTCAAAGCGTGAGGTTGACATCACGGAAGATAATCGGACAGACAAGTCAAGAGAACATTTTGAGAAGAGAGAAAAGAAGAACCATTTCCATCATGCTAGAAGTGGGAAACGTAACCTTGAGGTAAGACTTTGTTTATTCAATAATTTATTGAGTGTGGCTTCGCAAAATAGCATATCACTAAATAAAAAAACAAAATAGGAGGTAGCTTCAACAGAGATAACACCAGAAGGTGTAAGAAATTTGAAATTCTTTTGTGATGAATAGTTTTCAACATTGCCGCATAAAATTTTATGTGATCTTTGACAATTACTCACGTTTACGGTATTAAATCTCTGAAGAGATTCTATCTCTATTCTACTTAAAAGGGAAATTTTAGATACAACAGTTGTTAGCCTTCTGGAATTGTGTGTTTCTTGCGAGATGTCAAACTAATCGTCATACGATAGACAGCAGATGACGATTGGCATTAGTTGTGTTGTACTGTGTTTTGGAGTAATATCAATCAAACACGCGTGGCTGAAGGAATTAAGTTGAAGTAACATTTCATGAATCACGTATCTGTGTCTAACGATTAGGTAAATAGACAAGCATATGGTGGTCTCTGTTCGGAAGGCATGATTAACATCACAGTGTCATAGTAGGTCATGCTGTCTGATAATCAAACTGGAATAATCTGTGATATTCTGGTTATAAATGTATTGTCGACAGCAGTATTACTCACCTGCTTATAACAAGTTGGGCGGAGTTGTCTTCTTGTACTATCATAAATGTACACTTCACAGACAAATAATCATTGACTCGGTAAAATCGCTGAGTAATATATAATACGTTGTCCAAGCTGTCTGTCTGAGATCTCCAGAAGTGGCTGTAAGTGACTGTAAGATTGATGATACAGATAAAAAAGTGTAGCCTGAGGGCAGTATGAGTCCTAACATTATCACATAAGTAGAAACAGTAGCTTCCATTTTCGTAGTTCAATGTTCGACCTGTCGAAACACAGCTGGTAATCAGGCATTCATTCTGCCACAATCCTTACGAATATCAGCTGGGTATCAAGACGACATGTAACAAGTCAATGCTCAACAAACTTTCCTCACATAAATCCTTAGCGTGATGAATTACACAGTGGTCACAGGTTCTCACGCACTTTCGTCAAGTATTACAAATCATATTTAGACTGCGTTTCACGACACAATACGGAAGTACTAACCTTCTCATTACCGAAGAAATGGATGAATTTCACTTGCTCAAACAATTTATCTACCTGACTTCACTAAACTCACATACATAGACGTGTTTCTACCTCGTTCAGATATTTATCTGTTCGTCAGAGAGTTTGATAGTTTCGAAGGTCGTCAGTGCATTAAAATAGGAGGAAGAAGTATCACATGTTGTGAAAGACATCTACAATATTCACTTACCGACTATTAACTTCGAAAGTACTCCTTAGCTTCCAACAGTTCCGCAGAACTTAAAATACTCTTCCCATTCCCAAATCATTCAACAATTTGCTCGACGCTGAATTCAAAACACTCGATGTCGACGTGTTGACTTCTGGAAAACTGATAA